ATAGATAGACCACGTTTCTAGTTTGTGTTTTGAAGAAAATTACAGCTAAATAATTTAAAACTGCTGGACGAAAAAATAAGAGAAATTATTGAAGCAAGCTCTGACAACGCCACGTTGTAAAAGAAACTAAGGCTTTGTTCATCAATCTGCTTAATCATCCATGTGAACCGTACTATTGTTGTACCAGTTTATTTTTTGGTGACCTTGGTCTATGTACTTGATGCCAACTATCTTTTCTCTGCTCCTTTTGCAAGCTTCTGGTTGAGTACCAGGTTGTTTCGTGTACTGACTGTCTTGATGAAGTCTCTGCCATGGGCATTGAGGCACGGGCCTCTTTGCTTATTCGCCTTGAGAGTGTGAAGACGATTCATTCCATGCCTGAACGGGTCGTGCAAGGGTCCTGCACGGGTCGCGCCTTACTACCTTGCGGGATCTCTTTATATCAAGAGGTCCAAAACCTCATCAAGGAGCATAGTGTTTAATAGTGATTTTGACTTAGTCGCTCCCAGGCAGAACTCAAAGTTATTAATTAGAAGACAGTTGTCACAAGCGATCTGTGGTTTTGAAACTACTTCTATAACTCACTTTGAGATCGGTAGAGAAAATTTTAATGATAACACATTTAAGACATACTGGTCGGCTCAGCTTCAATTGGAAGTCTTAAAAGTAGGACAGTGTAGAAAAACTTCAAAAGTAGCTATAAGTTTAATTTACGATGACATTTTAAAAAACCTCATTTAAGCACTTGGGTAGTTGAGAGAATTCTCGGAAGCTATGCAAACCCTCTCCGAATCCTCTTGTGTTTAGATGAGATAGATAGATAGATTGTGTCGTTTCAAAATAAAGTAAAATCCACCTCTTTACGATTACAAAAACATTGTGAAAGGCGTATATGTATTTATTTTTACTATTACTATTCCCCTTCTTTATGACGTTCGTTTTAGTACCATACGGTTCGTGGATTGGGTGACACATATGGTTACTTGCGCATATCTTGCACTGTAGGTGTGTTCCTCTTTGTCTTGTCAGCCGTATGGGTAGTTTCTATTCTCATCATCTTCTTAAACTCTGTGGAGGTAATGATCGAGTTGATGAAGAGTTATTTGATAGCATAAGTGCTTACCATTTGGCCTAAAGTTTAGTTCTCGCTTGGCTTTTGAGTTATAACGCGCAAGAAAGAGCCAATCAGAAATCTCTTCACAGCTATGCCACAATTACATTTTGTTAGTCTTAGGGACGGACCATTGTTTTATTGAGAGGGGGCAATTTTCTTGGGCATTTTCTAACCTTTAGGTTGAGCATGACTTTTTTTGGGGGAGGGGGGCAATACATTGTGCAAAAATTTCTTTTAACACCAAATATAATGATAGTAGAAAGCACAGTTTGGAAATGCCTAACCCCTCCCCCTCCCCACTCAAAAAATAATGGTCCTTCCTTTACCTGTGACTATGCCTGGCGCGAGAGGAGAATAAATGTAACGCGTTTAACTGAAAGAGAGGATTGTTGCCAGGACATGTTAATTACATATTATACCTTCAAAAGATATCTTTCTGTTGCCCGCTTGGCATTTGTCCTCCAAGATTTCATCAAGCTCGCTCTCGGAGATGTTCTCCTCTAGTCTAGAAAACGCTTGCCGAAGTTCCGAGGTTAGGACGTAACCGCGATCATCTACATCGAAGATTCGAAAAGCTTCCTTAGCCTCGTTTATTTCCATTCCAAACTGATTTCTCGTAAACATAAGTTTGACAAATTCCTGAAAATCCATCATGCCATTACCTGCGAAAACCATAAAATGGATTACTTCAGTTTAACTATAAATGAAAAAGAATTAAGCATAAATCAATTACCTGTACAATCTTGTTAAAAAAAAAATATGCAATTGGAGTACTTTACTCCTGTTTAACTTCACCGGACCTTAAATACATAACCTGATCTTCTTAGATTTTCACGCCCTGCTTGTGCCTGGAAGTCGATTGATATCTTGTGAAGGCAAATCCTTGCTTTGCTGTCCTGCTTCAGTCGAGCAACATTACTACCAAACTTTTCCTTCACTACATTTCTTTTTTTTAATCAACGTGACCTATTTCTTTCCCCTCNATCTTCTTAGATTTTCATGCCCTGCTTGTGCCTGGAAGTCGATTAATATCTTGTGAAGGCAAATCCTTGCGCGCTTTGCTGTCCTGCTTCAGTCGAGCAACATTACTACCAAACTTTTCCTTCTCTACATTTCTTTTTTTAATCAACGTGACCTATTTCTTTCCCCTCTCATCCCCTCATACCATCAATGTCCACAGTGTTAATAATTCGCTGCAGTTCATTTTCTGTGGGGTTTTCACCAAGCGACTTCATAAGCGTCCCCAGCTCTTTTGTCGTAATGTGACCACTGTTGTCCTTGTCGAAGTGATTAAATGCTTCGAAATACTCTGTGACAAAAACAACAAGATATTTTCTTTCATGCCGTTTAATAGTCAATTCGATATCCTTGTCACGTGACCTTTGTCGACCTCACAAAATGGTCGCGAAACAAAATGGATGCCAGAAATGGAAAGAGTTGCGATGAAATTTGCAACTTTTTCTACGTTAGTCTTTTTAATAGTTTAAAGCCTTCACAAACAGTGGCCTAAGATGGTCCGTGTGCATAGTACTCAAAAACAAGAGGGGTATATCTAAGTAAATTAGATCATATATAACTCATACGGTTAAAGAAAATATAAAAGTTCTTTGAGATTCCTCATTTGATCCTTGCATTCAAGTATTCTTAAATGGTTTGGTAGTCAAGATAAAAACTGCTTGAAAAATCTTCAGCAGAACGATTGCTTTTGACTAATCACTCTTATCATTGTTCAAACAATCAACTACTGATATAAATCTTCATTATTTTATCTTTGTCTTGTTGACAATGTGATTGAAGCGCTTACATGTTGATAATATGTTCTTTCCAATGTTTATAAAGAATCGAGAAAATAACGTTAAACTCCGTCAAGACCTTACCAACATACCTTCGAGTT